TATCCACTTCCTGAAAATATTCAGTTAAAAAAACCCAGAAATGCATGTTTCCAAGGTGTATTACCAGAACTGGCCACGAGAGGGAACCACAGACTCTGCTATAGAGAGAGAGTTTTCTATATCCGCTGTTTTCAGCAACCACTTGGGGGATTTGGAACTGATCCCCCAAGGATAGCACAGTCCTATTGTATGCACAAGTTGGCTGTACCGATGGGATTGCAACTCCTTCTGCCATTCAGATGAGTAAGGAACTAATACAGTTGCCCAATTTTATTTTGTATTCATGGCTCTAATAAAAAAAATTTAATGCACTGGTCCGGTTGGATACTAGACAGACCGTCAAGGGGTGAATCATGCTGATGTCTGAGCAATGCATGACACCCCCTTCCTAAAGCTGGTGGAAATATGAACTGAATTCATTTTGCAGGCAAGGACATTGTAAAAAAGAAAAATGTTTGGAGGAACCAAAGGACTGAATCCAACTATTCTTACAAGTAGAGTAAAACTACAGAAATCAATGGGATTTCCATGAGAGGCAACTTAAAAAAGATCATTTATTTCAATGGGCCTGCTCTAGCCTTCAGTAGGGACTGAAATCATGGATTCACTCGTTCTTGATGTACAGCCTTATTGCTATTCTAACCACTCTTACAACAGTGGTTCCCAACCTTGGGTAACTCAGAGGTTCTGGGACTACAACTCCCAGAAGCCTTCACCACTAGCTGAGCTGGCCAGGGCTTCTGGGAGTTTTAGTCCAAGTACATCTGGGGAACCAAGCTTGGGAACCACTGACTTAGACATTATGTGACAATTTCATTTCCTAATGAAATCGAGCACTTTGGTAAAAGGAGTAGATAGAGGATGAATTCAACGTCTCTTCATTGCTTTGGATCTGTCCTAAATACTGATGATAATAATGCACACACACGCACACACGCACATACCTCTCAAATGTTTGATGCTCAATCAACAATGACAGAACAAAGCAAACCATTGCACATTCATCTTTATTAGGAAACAGGGGTGTTGGTGGGTCTCCGGGTAGGTCTTTGTTTTTCCTTTTTCTCTCATTCAAAGAGAAGGGAGGTGGGAAACTACATCAACCACTGTGTTGCTTCAGAGGCACAGTCATCATCACTGCTCCATAATCTATTTTTAACACACATCTCATTCAATTAAGGTTCCATATTGTTGACAACGCGGCACTGTTTCAGGAGCAAATTGCAAAGCCAGGGAAACGAAGCTCATAAATAAATGTCAGGGTTTTCGTACTTTTTTTGAAAAGGGCTCCAGAGAAGGAAGGAAGGAAGGAAGGAAGGAAGGAAGATTTGTTTGAGTTTTCCTTATTCAGCACATTTACTGCACTTTGATGAATAGGCTTAGATAGGAAAGGAACATTTATGGCTTATTAACATTCAGCGTGTTCACTCTGTCTCAACAAACACATGCACGATTACACACACATACACACAGACACACTTTTCAGCATCTCAAGATAAATGGGATATGCTCCCAACAGATGCCTCACCCCATTCATCTTCAGGGGTTTAGAGAGAAAGCTGCGGGGAGGGACCAGGACTGGGACAGGATAGGAGCACTGTCCACATTGCATGCAGAGGGTGCAAACCCAGAATGCAGCAAAGACATCCTTTTGAGAGAAAAACACAGCAACCAGGAGCCTGGGGGGATAAGTGGAAAACGGCAGTGGTGTACGTGGTTCCCCCACTTCATACGATGCGCATGGCACACCAGTTGTGTGACCCATCACAGCACTGATTGCACGAGAAGCTCAATACCAAGCTTGCAACAGACATCGGAGCCGATGGAGAAACCCCTAGGCACCACAGCTGTTCCACCTGCAGGAAACAGAATACTGGCCAACGTATTCAAAGAATGGCTCTTAATACAGTATGAGTGTTTCTTAACTTCAGACCACCACCTCAAATTCTTTTTTATTTCTTCCTTAAAGGAAAGAAGTCTTTGGAAGATGCTTTGCCCAAAAATGGATCAATCAACCGAGCCACAGAAGTTGCTTGATTTTACCATGTGGTCCCAGGTAAATTGCAGAAGGCAAATGCCGAATGTGGACCTTCAGGACGAATATCAAGAGAAACCTCTGAACTGCTAGAGCAGTATGACAACAGAACCCATGAACCCGGGAGGTGGTGAGCGCTCCAACGCTGGAGGCATTCGAGAGGGAATTAGACAGACAGCTGTCAGAGCTGCTTTGATTTGGATTCTGACATAGAGCAGGCGGTTGGACTCGATGGTCTTACAGGTCCCTTCCGACTCAATTTTTCTATGTTACTATAACAGCGGAACCTCAGAAAAAGAATGACGATTCCCGAGTTCCTAGAATTCCTGATTAGCATAGCCACCATATATTCTGGGTGAGAAACCCTCAAAACTGTGTGCCAACGAAGGAAGTTCTCCTACATGAGCATAAAAGTGTCAGAGTCCTATCGTTGGGAGCCTTCTGCATATTTCCACATCAAGTCCATGGATTCCTATTTCCTTCTATATTCCCTTCACCAAGCAATTCACACAATATTGGAATTAAATGAAGATAATAATAATAATGTGCCATCAAGTCAACTTATGTTGAGAAAACTAGGTGGAGGGTACTCAGAAGCGGTTCCCATTCCCTTCCTCTAGGGGGCGCTCTGGGACTGTACAGCTGGCCCAAGGCTATCCAGGCTGGCTCTTCTCCCAGGAGGCCCAGTGGGGGGAATCGAACTCCCAACCTTCTGGCCCCAGATGCCTAACTTGCTGAGCTATCCAGCCAAATTACTAACTGAATTGACCAGATTCGGGCCCATCCATTGGAGATTCAGTTCGAAGTGGAAGGGTCATGTTTTGGTGGTCGGGCGAAACAAAATGAGTTTATCAAGCCATTCATATCTTGAGCCCACATCAAACTGGATTTCCCACATCGAAACATAAACTGGCCCAGTATACCAGACCCCAGAAGCTAGTTGTCTGAAATTTCATAGGATTGCTCCCTTTTTCAAGCTCTGTCGTGTTTTCACTGGCAGATCAGCGCCCAGCCAAACAAAGATACGGCCATTTTTTTGGTTTTTCAGTGCAAATCAATGGGAGCCTTTCCAAATCTGTTCAGGGGAGGTGGGAGCATTTACTCCAGTTTCAATCACAAGCCGTTCTGAAGCCCCAAATTAACCTCTGAACAAAACAGGGGGAAGGGGACCTGGGCACAGCCTCACCCCAAACCATGGTTACTTCAAACCTACATTTGTCGACCCACTTCTAAACAGACTTGAAAATCAGAGCTGACAGCCAAGGAGGACTCTATTTGCATCGGAGCAAGTCTCGTTAGATTATGACCAGCTCCCAAAGCGGAACAGAGGGAGGGTTTCCATGCAGAAGATGCACTCCGTAACTAAGCAATAATAATAATAATTGTGTGCCTTTCAAGTCAATACTGACTTATGGCGACCCTTTCCTGGGTTTTCTAGGAAGAGAATACTCAGAAGGGGTTTCCCACCCCCTTCCGCTAGGGGGCACTCTGGGACTGTGCAGTTGGCCCAAGGCTCCACAGGCTGGCTCTTCAGTGATGCCTTGCTAGACGATGATAATCCGTTCCACTGAAATCACTGTTTAGCAAAATCATCGCCTAGCGAAAAGCATTTCCCCATTGGAATGCATTGAAACCTGTTTAATGCGTTCCAATGGGGAAGAATCGTCGTTGTCTAGCGAAGATCGGCCATAGGAAAGCCACTTTGCAAATAGCCGATCAGCTGTTTAAATCGCTGTCTTGCAAACCTTAGGTCCCGAACACACCGGTTTTTGTGAGCACGGAGGGAGCTGTCAAAATCGTTGTCTAGCGAAAATTGGTTTGCGAAGCAGGGACCAAACATTGTCCAGTGAAATTCCCCCATAGGAATCAATGTTTTGTGAATCGCTATAGTGATCGCAAAAAGTCAATGTCTAGCGAAAAAACTGTCATGCAGGGTAACTGTCTAGTGAGGTACCACTGTATTTGCAGGAGGCACAGTGGGGAATCAAACTCCCAACTTCTGACTCTGCAGACCTACGACTGACTCACTGAGCTATCCAGCCAGCTAAACAACACCCTTTCTTTTTTTTAGGCACAGAACTTATCATCATAGGCAACCTCTCTGCTTCCCTGGCTCAAAAAGCAGGATTCTGCTACACCAAGAGTGGAAGGAGCTTTGAACTGTTTTCAGGTGATGTCCAGAATTTTATCAAGTAAGAAACTTGACTTAGCAAGGTCTATAAAGAGAAGAGAGAAGAGCTTCAGAATAAAACAGGGGTTGCTTTCTTCCTTCGCAAGAGAAGACTGCATCTTTACACTGCTGGAAAGACCAAAAGTTTGTTTGCCAGGAAAGAGACAACATGAAATAAAGGGACATCTCTTGAGTAATAACGACACAATCCCAGCTGCATTCTGGTTGACAATTTCACAGTTTAAAAAAGAAGGAGAAGAATCCTCATTGTCGACTTTGCTTCTTTCTCGGTTCACTTTTCTTTTTCCTTTTCGAATGTTCTGGTTTCGGAATTCGGCCTCCCGAGGTAAAGTAAATAGAGATGCCCCAGAGGCAGTCCTGTTAGGTTTTGCAAAACGTTATAGCTTAATTCTGTCCAGGGGAGGGGGAACAATTCATGGATGCTCACCTGAACCTCACCTGGCTCCGGAGAAGAGTCCCCCAATGAAACAACGCAGCAGGCAGCCACCAAATCGTAATGGTCATGACCAACATCACTACAAGAATCAAGAAAATTGAATAGGACACATGCGCATGGGCAGAACATCTGCTATCTTGATTGGGGACGTTCACCCTCTGATTTTTGTCTTTTGTGTGGCTTAGAAATAACAAGTCCATTGGGTAAGTCTTTTCTGGCCAAGCATTGCCTGGATAATTGGATGGCTTGTGTTATTTATTTATTTCACTGTTTCTATCCTGCCTTTCTCCCTGAAAGGACCCAAGGTGGTTATTTAATATAAATGGAGGATGGAAGGCTAGAGAAGATTAGCTCAACTTTAATGATGCCATAGGAAATCTTTGGTTTGTGATGCAGAAAATGTGTCATGATCAACGTTCTTGACGTGTCCCTCTAGCGTAACCTTCAGCAGCCCCACTGCAATGGGAAGGGAAGGTGTTTCTCCATAATAAGTGTCTCCGGCGTGGTTCCCATCCAGTGTATAGTTGTCATGAGCCATGTCGTGGTGGTCCCGAATGGCCAAAGAGGGGGTATCAATGCCAACGGGAAGAGTCAACGCTACCCCATGCAACACAGCAAGGGTGTTGTTATTCTTCTCCAATTTTAGGAGATGGTGTATGAAGGAAAGGTGGTCTACTGGCCCAGATTCTGAGAACATCCCGGACAGGCAGGGGCCACGACAAAAGTCCTGAGGCCGCGGCTTGACCGTCAGGGAAGAGGGGCAACGGGATCCAACGTCAGACTGCCGAAAGATCGATCCGGTTGGCTGAATTTGTGCTTTTGTCCCAGGTGTTAAGCTTGGTGGGGGTTGTTCCTGGCTTGTTCCCGGTTATCTGGA